TTTTGTGATAATGATCCTGTTTTTAAAAATTGCATTTCCTATAATAATAACTGTATTATTAAAGGACGACAAATACCTGTGGAGTCTTTCATAAAAATATTATTGCCATTAATTGGTCTTATTGGAGAAATTATTACAGGAATGGATCATAATTGGAAATTTATACATATTGGAAATACTCAACACTCTTCAATGTATTCTGCATTTATTCTTTCGGGTATTGTTGAGGTTCTGGTGTTTTACAGGCCACACTTTGCCCCGGAGTATGAATCCAATATTTTATTTTTACTTGTTCATTTTTTACTTACGAAATTTATATTCATTATCAATATTTTATGCTTAAGTTATCCATTTTTAGTTAAATACTCAAGATTATATATATATTGACATAGTGACTTTTATATTTGACCTCCCTCTTTATGGCTAAATTTTCATATGTATATTTTAATATTTAGAAATTTAAAATTTTTTTTGTACATGAATTTACTTCCTAAAAACCTCGATTGCTTTTGCTGTCAGTTATTTCACTGATTTTTGCATTTTTACAATATAATAAGTCTATATAGATGTGATAAATGCGCATCTACAATGTTTGTTTAGAGAGGACTCTACTCTATCAAATAACAAAGCTCGACATTGATTCACTTGTATCGGGTGGCCTAGCTCAAGGTTGATATACTTAAGTTAGCGCTGCACACGGCAAATCCAGAAACAACAAGGCAATTAACCTCTGTCCAACGATCGTTTTTTTTAACTCTTCGCACAAACTTATACTGATAGACATGGAAATTTCAAGGTATTCTTTGACCGCTCGTAAATTTAAATCAGCCTTTCTGTGCCATTTTGCATAATTGTATATCAAAATCGAGCGGTATAGAAGGATACGATATATGATGTTTCTCTCTCATTATATTTCTCCGTATTAAAAATAATGATAAAATTTCTCCCGATTTGTCCTGGATGACTTTTCAGCATGGCTAAGATAGCCAAAACCTGTTATAATTATTTAATATATGTAATGGTGTGAAGAGAATTCTAGCTTCGTTGCAATTTCTAAACTATACAGGGTTTATCCTATTATGAGTTTAATATGTAACTTTAAAAACTATTATTAGATCTTGAATGAAAATAAAATGAGTCATCTAAATCGCTTAAGTCGACAGGCTAAATTTTCAGGCAAAATAAGTAAAAAATTTCTGTGGTTAGCTTTCAAGACTATCAGTAATTCTTAAATAAGAACCTAGTCAGCCCACGTCGCTTAAGTGGTTCAAGGACTTATGATCTTATTCCATGATGACGATTTATACCTCAGGAACCACCTCGATGTTGAGAAGCCTACTGGTAAGATAAAAGGCTTTTGAATGTAGTGGCAAAGTTTTAGGATTAAATTGGAGGATGCATAAAACGAATTGGTTGTATGTGTTTTCTTGATAAAGGTGCAATTACCATAAAGTTTTGAAGGGGAGGAGACAGATGGAGCTAGACAACCGAAAAGGACAGCTTTGCTGAAGTTCTGTATCCAACATAAAGACGCTAAAAGATAGAACACTACAGAGGCTCAATGTGAATAGTCGATATTGATTTAAATAAACTAAATTTGCAATCTCATTATCTCTGCAGAGTAACAGTTATTCTGTAGATGCGGTCCTATCGACACAGTCATTAGAAGATTGCCTGGCATGTAGATGCTAGCCCAGCATAATCCTCCTACGGAGGTCTGATTGACTAGTACCTTTGCGGATGCATAACAGGGTAAGAGCACCTTAAGAGATTGTGACAACTTGGAGGGGCACTTGAAGCTTTACGCATTAGATATCCAGAAGTGCAGCTGTCAATTTAAATATACGATGCTGTTACAGTGAGATGCTATAGGCTGCAGAGGAGACACACATCGGAACTTTCAACGGACGGATCCTGGTGCAAAACGCTAATTCAGTGGGAAGCATGGTGAGTAATGGCAGCGCGCTCTTGCGAGCACTGGCCCGAAAGAAGTCTCTGAGTCTAGAGTTCTTCTTTCTTAATGTAATTGCGTGATTTAAGTGTTGTATTCTGATTGATTTAACAGGTCGCGATCGATATCGTGGCTGGCATTTAATTGCCCAATGCAAATCATTGAGTGAGAAATGTTCCAAAATTGTGCATATATTAACGGTTGTAAGGAGCAAGAGTTAAGGCAGGTTACCGCAGACTCATTTGAATTTTTCATAATCTGATGAGTAGGTCTTAGGACGTCTTTAAATTTCCTCAACAATTCCTCCAAAAAGCTCATCTTATCTAGGCTGGTCTGTAGTTTGGATCTTCCCTGAGTCCTATCAGCACTTCCATTGTGGGTTAATACAACTCCGTTTATTTGAGTGATAAACGTTGCCACGATACTTATGGTCCAGTATAGAATCCCGCCAGGGGTGCTGATGAGCCCAAGGTGAGTCGGAAACTCCAGTCCAGCCAGGATGAGACAGCTTTTAGGAGGCTAAGTTAAATTTTATGGCATTCCGAGGCCTACTAATTAGATTGTATAAAAACTCAAATATTAGTCCTTAAATTACCTTAACCGTACTTTGGTGACTTAGTTCTTATTCAACTGAGTACAACACCTAACGATGTCATTGTGCTTCACTTAGCCTTACCATCGTAAGGACTTTTTCGTTCAGATTGAAGTATAAATTTAACCTTGCATGGGTCTAATCAGCACTTACTAGAGCACTTGAACTTTGGTAGTCCTCATCAAGCAGTGACTCTACCACTTAGCCGCAAGACCACGACTACCAGTAGGTCACAATTTTCAAGCTAAGCAAGGTCTCACTCCTTTTACATGTTTACTGAAATTGTTGTCGATGATGCATACCTTTTTATATTGGATGTATGAGGACCAAGATGGTATGGCCTTCCGTTTGGTCGACGTCTCCTTTAGTTCTATATTGTTTGTTCGACCCTGTTTTCGCAACTGAGTCTAAGTGTCAGGGAGATCTTGTGAAACGTACATAGTTCCTTCTCCTCTGCCATAGTATTTGTGATTTCCAGTATTTGGGCCACGGAATAGTTGTCGATAATGCATACCTTTTTTAATTGAAATCGACCGTATCACGATATTCTCATCGAGTACATTTTGAAATTATAACTAGGTCTTGAATAACAATATGAATTGTATTTATGCTAATCACTGCTTCTCATCATCTCTTATTAAGGCATATACTTGCACTCTGTCTATCATATCGTCTTGCTTATATGTTTATATGCTTCTTTATTCATTTGTCTATCTCGATCAAATCTGCAGGAATCTTGACTACCCTCCCAAGCAAATTGCACAAAAATATTCTTAATCGCTCGGTTAGCTCTGCTGAGTGGCTCTGTACGTGACAGCCTAGAGACAATATCTTGTCCGCTCCGATCAAAGCTCAGTCTAGAGACTGCGAGTATAGACCAACTTTACTATTGGATTAATCCGTACGAATAGTGATTCTGTAGTATGCTTCCATCCTCAGCACTCTTTTCTCCTATTTCCTTCCTTTCCTCTCTGCTTCCCTCCTTCTGGAGTCACAAATTTGACCCATTGATGTGTACGTCTATGAGCAACTAGATTTAGCATGCTTTACATGCATCCATAAGCCAGCATTGGATTAACTTTCCGCATCAATCAACCTTGCTCATTAAACATGGGCCTGACAGTAAGGGTGACTTTTAATATATTGAATCCCTAACAGATGTCACACTTGCGATTTGATCATCAACATCTTGTGTACTACCTTGTATGGAGATTTTATCCCTTTCTAATCTTTGCTAGGCTCATTGGAGATTTTTACAAGACAGCTCTACACCATGACCAACTTTACTGCAGGTTCGGATCCAACAACGTTGTTTAATCGAGATTTTTGCTTATGCTGTCTATGCCTGTCCATTTGTGGCTCAGAGCATTCGATACCTTCGATGCGGTCTTTGTTTCACTTCTAAATGGTGCGCATATGCTCAGTATTTTCCTAAAAAATTCATCTTCCTATACCTCTTGTAAAAATCCAGCATTTAAGGTCCAACCACGGAAAGGTCTTTTTCAAGACCAAACTGGCCTTGATTTGGGGTCACTATCATTCCGTTTGAAGATGTTTTTATCAAGGATTTGATTGATCTTGATTATCAGAGACAAGTGAAATTTATCTTTGTTGTAAGAGAGTCTCTAAGAGTCTTTGCCATTTGTTCATATCACGTCTTACTGTAAGGAGAAAACTGGCCCATCTTACAACTCCGATTACTGCAAGATTTCGAGTCCTACTGCTATGTGTGTAATAGAGTTACCTATGATTGTAAGCATGAGATTCTGAAGATTTATTTGTTTAAAAAGTTTGTACTTACAAAGATTAACTGTGGCAAAACCTATTGCAGAAAAGATGTGCTAATTATCACGAATTAAGCGTTTTGACAACTATGGTGAATACACTATTTCGTTTAAGGTGATAAGGACTGGTAGAAGAATTTTCCCACAATGATATGAGTAGAGGTGACGTTTCCATTGAATTTCACATTGCCTTGCTTTCTCAAAAGTTGTTCTCATCGAAACTCCACTCAAATAAGAAAAGTCTTGTAAGGTTGGGGATTTGCTTGAAATCATCAGGTCAGCAAAAATAATTGATATAGGAACTGAATTTAAAAATAAGTGATGAGTAACCTACAGATGTCAAATGGGCTTCTGAATAAAAAGAAGATGGTTACCATATAAGTGCTGGTCTATGCCATGTTCTTTTACCTACACTTTTAATGGCAAACTATTGTCGTGGCGCGCCACTTTTAATTAAGAAAGACACACTTAATTTGTTTATCCAAGCCCAGCTCTAAAACAAGAATTTAGGCAACCATTTGATAATATGTTATATATTATCAGTCGATTGATGATTGATGCATCAACGATAAAGTGTGATATCGGTTTGCTCTTGCTGTCGTGTGTCTATCTCACTTCACTTAAAGGTGATAATTGGGCTTAAGCGAGGCAAAATTGCAGTACATTAGGACTAAGGGGGCACTTTTTGCATTAATGGTACAAGGAACAGAGGAAAATCCTTCTTCCAGACCTAATATTATTTCCTATTATGAGTCTTTACCTATAAATGTAATCCGCTAGTAGATGCAACATTAAGCTCCCATAAAAACATTGAAGCAAGATGGCATTTATCGTAAAATGCGCTTTAGCTGTGTTTACTATTGTTTGTTTACTTTACTCTCTACCCTCTTACAACGGTTTAAAGTTGGGTGAAGTCAAAGTTATAATCTGCATGCTAAAGAATTAATCAAGTTATTTAGCGTTCTCTTTAAATGGTATTTTTATTGAAATAAAATCCTTGACTTAGCATTAAATATATATGATATAATTTTTATCGATTTAAATCATATACCAACACAACATTTTCCCACATTATCCCTATCGTATTTATCTATTCATCGTAAGGTGACGCTAGATGAAGCACGAAGTATTAAGGTTTAAAATAAAATCCAAAAAAGCCTCATGGTTTCACTCATATGTAAATAGGCCTACAAAATGGATTTTAGGAATCCATCAATGTTTATCAATCTCATTTCTGTTTGAATTGCCTGTCACAAAAAGCTTGATGATAATCACTTGTTAGTCATACATCTGTTCGCAGACAACATAGTACTTCATTCGGGCTTACTTGGTATTGACAGGGAAGCAGACCTCTTACAATGAAAAAAAATCAACTAATCACTAATGCGAGTCCATTACTTGAAGTCATAGCGTGGACTCTACGCTATTCTACCAAGTCCCTGTTCGAGGCATCTGTCACCTATGTGAGAAAATGGCAAGGCGACACGTAAGCTATTCTGACTGATTTTGGTCGATTGTCCTCAACTTTATATTAAGTTGTTTTCGTAGTACCCTTGCTTGTTCTCTACTTTTGTTTTCTTGTCTGCTTCCATGTTTTCGCTTTAGTGAAACATAAACCTGCCCCTCGCCCTACCTTCTTTTATCTGCAGAAATATTGAATATATGCCGAATTTCGTGGCCTTTCTCGTCGAATTCTTCCTCTTTCTCTTTCATCTTCATGGAAGGTCTGAATTTGATATTTACCTTCATTTATTATTGGTTTCTGTGGTCGGAATGACAATTTTCCAGGGACTACTCGAGCTAATTTATACCCACAGTTATTTGGCCGGCTTGGCGCGAACTTTCCTTGTATTAACACAGGGAACATGGTTCTGTCAAGTGAGTTCCCTGTATCTTTTGTCCACTTATATGTCTACAAATTACGACTTCTATCAATTCTGCAATGTCGTTTCTATTATTAATATTTTCCGAGCCAACCATAAGGATATAAACTTTTACGTTCTAAATAACCTTTGAATCGGAAAACATATTGATCTTTTATGCGCAGTTAAAGCGTTTTAATATACTATAATTTTTACTCACTTGATTTGCAATAACTTTCTAGAATCGGGTGGCAGAACCAATTCCATATCTCTAATATAATGATCTCTAGTGGGCGTCAGGGCTCTTTGCTCTCGGGCTCATTTGGATTTGTAGTCCGTCCTTTAGTCTGATTGACCTAATAGACCTGGAGTTGCCGTTACTTGATATAGAATATGTTGTATGTATTTTTACCAAAGAATAACTTTCATTTGGATTAACTTTCGGCGGCAGATTTCTTAAACCCGTTCTTCGTATTTGGTTAAACTATGCTGATCGTTTTCCTTTCGCAGTACAGGCAATTTCAGAACATGATATAAATCTCAATACAAATTTGTTCACAAATAATTAAAATAAGATATAGTATGTACTTACTCGCTTCCCTATAAATCGCACTACCGTATGGTTTAGTCTATATCAATCTTAAAATGTTTGTGTTAACTTATAAAATAAATATGATGGTATGCTGGAAAAGGAAATCATTTTTATGTGTAAAGGGGGTTCAGATTATATTGCCTTGTTCGAGGTACATACTCTGGAAGTGAAATGGTAAATACATTCTTTATAGATAGTCATCAAAACGAGTTTTCTATAATTTACAGCGAATCTATCTATATTCATCACTTATGTCACTGGAGTAATAGTTGAGCTTATTTATTGCGTCAGCTATAAAATTGCAGCAATGAGTTTGCTGATCTCTCTGTCATCTTGAATATGTTTTTTCCGTTTTCTGTCCCCTACTTTTTCCATACAAAAAGACCTTGGCAAATACCATCTTTCTTAAGATAGTAGTCTAGACAGAATATTTAAGTAAAAAGAATTAAATTGTACATATTGATGCCTTTATTTTGACCGAAATAGGTAAAGATTCAAGGTTAAATATTAGGGGAAGACTGGAAGTTATTTTACACTTTAAGTGGTGTTAGACCTCTGGCAGTTTGTACATAAAT